CAAGAGCTTCATGGGGTAGATATTTTCTTACCAACCTATTCAGAGATATTATGACAAACCTCTGGAGTAGGTAGGATTGTCCTTGGACCAACCATCTTTAGCTGCTTCAATTACCTTCCTTCCACCATAGTCAGAAGCAGGGGCAGTCACTGATGGTTGTACAATGTTTTGCAGTACTTACAACTCCTCAGATACTGAGGCATTCAGCAAAATATATACAATATTCAGGCTTAGTTATCAGGTAGCAACCTTTTGCAGATATGAAATAAAAGTGAATTTTTACGTATTTTGCACATTTGCAATCTAAACCTTTTCAGTTTTTTCTCTGCTTTCATCTGTACACTGTTTACATGTTAATGACAAATCAGTAACTGTACAGACCTCTGTAATTCCATCAGCCTTTTGTGTTTAAGTAGCAGCTCTTTGTTCCATTGTGCACAGGCAGTATTCAAAAGAACTTCAATTCATGAAAATCTGACAATTAGCATGGGGTGGGTAAAGTCAAAAACATTTTACACATCAGTAAACTCATTCTGTTTCATGTATAAATCCTTGAGTTAAGCTTATTAGTATATTAGCCTAAATTAAAATCATATGTGGAAAATGTCAGGGATCTTAAAGATATATTGTACCAGGTCAACCAACACAGAATAATGTCAAATAATTTTCTCATTTGTGCTAGTGAATGGGCTAAATAATGGTAGAAAAGAAACCATGAGTGCAAAGTTTAATGGTTTAGAATGTGCTTGTTTTCCACAGAAGCTGTAAGCAAAATTCTTTTACAATGAACCACATGCTGCACATAATCTGCACTGGCCTCAACCGGTTTTATGTTTTGACATCCGTTTGGTTGCACAGAAAAAAAAAGTGTTGCCACGTCTAATTGATTCAATTGAGATTTTCTCCATATTTGCTCACAACCAAAATGCAAGGATAGTTTCTTGGAGCACCTGTCCAAAACAAGGCCAAAACTGTTTTTTTGTCCCTCACTCACTATGTTATTTTCAAAAAAGACTTGGTTTTAATATCCGGGATTTAATTTTTCCAATGTTAATGCCTAGATTCTGTAACACTCCAAAATACAATACATTTTCAGAAGTCCAACAGGAACAGGTGCATTACATTTATCCTATAGAAGTAATCAGAGCAGACGGAAAACCTGGTTATTTTTAAAAGTTCAATGAAAAGCCATCAGATTTAACTTTCTTATCATCAGACCTTCTGAAATTTATGATTTTCCTGTTTCCTTGTCTCAGTTTATGAAGTTCCAAATCTGCTGCCTTCTATCACTTCTTCCAAAGAAAAGGTTTATTTTTTTCAAACAACCAAGGGCTTTGCTAATTGATATTTTAACTATCTGCAAAAGGAGCAATCTATTGAAAACGCTCAACAATTTAAAGACATCGTAAAACATTTATTGTGTGTTATGGAGTCATCTGTGTACTCATTTTTCTCTTCCTATTGTCTCGCTATTCTCCTATCATCAGCACTCTTCTGATTTCCTGCCTTTGTTCTTTGCCCCAGGTACGTCATCCTACACGCATCTGGCCATACTATCACCTCCTGCTCGAACTTGTTCTTGACTGGAGTCATGTGAAATTACTCATCTCTGCCTTTTTGTTATTAGTAGTTATGAACCCTGTTTGCTTCATCTAATCATCCTTCCCAATTTTCAGCCTGAAACAATCCTCTACTATGCCATATCACAAAATTCGGTGGTGGAATGACTTTAATAAACTAAAAATTAAGTGACCAAATCAACTAGCCATTCTAATTAGCACACAGACTACAGCAGTTTCACAAGGCAGCTCACCACCAGCTTCTCTTCAGCAACTAGGAACAGGCATTATATACCAGCCTAGCCAGAAACCCCCACATCCTACAAGTGAATTAAGAAAAAATCTTACTATTGAATATATACTAAGGTCATGAGTTTATTACTCCCATAAGTCACAAGCAAGACATTAAAACAAGAGCACTGTTTACTATATTACAAATCAATCTATTCTGTTCTTTCAGAACCTAGAAATCCATGGATCTTGCCAAGTGTTACATTCCTTCCAGTCAAAAGATTTTCATTTAAAGTCCTACAACATGTCTTTAGCACGTAATTCAGCCTGACACTAGTGTGCAATTTTGGCAAAGTGGCACATTGGCAAAGGATGCTATCTTCTAGATGAAGATTTCATCTCAGGTCTCATCTGTTTGTTCAGATGGACACAAGATTCCAGTGTACTTCAAAGAGCAGCAAGAAAGATTTCTCCTGTGGTCAACGTTCTTCAAAACAAACACCACTAAAAACAACAAATTTGAAACATTTATTCTGGCTCTTACATTTTGCAATATTTAAAAAGAAATTAATTAGCTGTGAAGTTCTTTGGATCACTTGGAGGCTGTGGAATGCACTACATAAATGCAAGTCCTTTCTCTATATCTGAGTTCATCAATGTTTTTGTAGTATGATTGTGTCATATCCCAATTGTATTGTAAGTATAACAAGTGGAGAAAGCTTAATGTTTTCCCCAAATAATAGCAGAAAGCAAACATGAACTCAGATCTAGCCACATAAATAGCCAATAGAGAAAAAATAGAAACTATTACATTTGGCAGGGTCTATTATGGTACCTAAAAGGAATTTTTTCATAAAACAAAAAGCAGCTTTAATTTTTCCGAAAGAGATTCAATTATTTTATGCATGAATCATTTTTCAGTATACAGCATTATATATTCAATTGTCTGATTTATTAAAACCATCGTCTTTCCTGGAAATTCTAAACTGTTTGAGGCCCATACAAATGTAGGTAATTTGACCATGAGTAAACCATTCTGTACCTTGAGCCTGCTTTTTGCCATTTAGCATAGTCACGGATGATCTGATCACAGCCACGACTTCACATTCCCACCTACCTCCATACTATCACTGTATCCGGGTGTATATTATTATTTTATGCAGTTAAAATGTTTATATATTTCAGCACCAAGTTAAGAGTCTGCAAAATTTCTCTGTCTAAGATGCAATAATATATTGAATATTAATACAATTTAAATAGTGCATTTAACATACAGCATTCTACTAAGATGCTTCAAAGGAGTCAAAGTGACTTAAACCAAATAAGGAAATGTTCGGACACGTATTATTCAAAAAGGCAGAGATCACAAAGTTTAGAAAAGAAACACCAGAGCTGAGGGTCTTGATAGCTGACTGCATGGATGATAGAAACTGGAATGGGTCCTTCACCTTCTTCAGCCTAGTCAACTATTCTAAATCAGGGCTGATCACCTACCTCAAACCCATTTTCCTGTGCTATCCTTGTATCCTTTTTGCACCTTTGTCATTGATTGATAGATTTCTATGTATTAATCTATCTTGAACATATTGAATGACTGAGCCTCATCAACCCTCTAGGATAGAGAATTCCAAAACACAGAAAATAAAAGGAGTGGCCATTCAGCCCATTGTAGGCCATTCAATATGATCATGGCTGATCATCCAACTCATCACTGTCCCCATTTCCTTTTATCTCTTTAGGCTTAAGAAACATATCTAACTCCATGTTTTGGCAGAAAATTCCACAGAATCACCACTGCCTAGGCAAAAAAAAAATCTCTCATCACAGTTCTAAACAGCCAACCCCACGTCCTCAGATTGTGGACCCTCATTCTGCCCTCCCAGTTCATCGCAAACATCCTTCCTACATTTATCCTGTCTAATCCTGTTGGAATTTTATGGGATTCTATGAGATCCTCCCTCATTCTTCTAAACTCTAGTGAATGTACTCCTAACTAATCCAGTTTATCTTCATACTTGACTCCACCTACGCCAGGAATCAGTCTGGTAAAACTTTGTTCCATTCTATCCATAGCCAGAATATCGTTCCTGAGATCAGGAGACCAAAACTGCATACAATACTCCAGGTGTGATCTCACTAAGGCCCTGTACAACTGCATCAAGACCTTCCTGGTCTTGTACTCAAATCCTTTCACTATGCCTTCTTTGCCAACTGCTGCACCTGCATGCTTAAGATTCACTATACTTCAGTAAAGAAATTCCTCCTCATCTTAGTCCCGAGTAGTTTTCCCCTTATTCTGAGACTTCATTCCCCTAGTTCCAAATCCAAATTGCAGGCGTTTCATAAGATCCGAATGAATAGACAGGAATGGAGCCACACAAGACCAGTCTCACCCCATTAGACATTACAAAAGTGGTATTGGAGAAGGATGGTAGTCAACCATGTCAAAACATGCAAGTGTCTAGAAGGGTGAAGAGGGATTGTTTATCATAATGATAATTTATAGGATATCATTTATTTGATTTATTATTGTCACACAAAGAGAGATAGTGAAAAGTGTTGTTTTGCACGCTAACCAGAAAAATCATACCGTACACAAGTATATCAGGGTAGTAGAAGAGAATGCAAAATATACTGTTACAGCTACACAAGAAGTGCAAGAGAAAGATTAACTCTAATATACGAGCAGTCCGTTCACAAGTCCGATGACAGCAGGGAAGAAGCTGTTCTCAGTCAGAGTCATACAGCATGGAAACAGACCCTTCAGACCAACTTGTCCACACTGACCATGTTCCCAAACTAAACTAGTCCCACCCGCCTGCATTTGGCTCATATCCTTCCGAGTGTTTCCTATTCACGTACTTAATGTCTTTTCAACGTTGTAATTGTACCTGCATCCACCACTTTCTCTGGCAGTTCATTCCACATACAAACGACGGTGTAAAAAAAGTTGTCCCTCATGTCCTTTTTAAAGCTTTCTCCTCTCATCTTAATGTGCCCCCTAGTTCTGACCTCCCCCACCTTAGAGAAAAGACCTTTGCTATTCAACTTATGTCTGATTTTCTAAACCTCTATAAAAATCAACCCTCCACCTCCTACGCTCCAGGGAAAAGAGTCTCAGTCTATTTTTATAACTCAAACACTCCATTCCTAGTAACATCCTGGTAAATCTTTTCTGAACCCTCGAGTTTAATATCATCCTTCTTATAACAGGGAGACCAGAACTGCACACGGTACTCCAGAAGAGGCCTCAGCAATGTCCCGTACAACCGCAACATGACATCCTACCTCATATACTCAAAGGTATGAGCAATGAAGGCAAGCGTACTAAACACTTTGTCTATCTATGATGCAAATTTCAGAGAATTATGTACTTGAATCCCTAGGTCTCTATTCTACAACACTACCCAGGGCCCTACCATTAATTGTATAAGTCCTACCCTTATTTGCTTTACCAAAATGCAATACCTTGCATTTATCCAAATCAAACTCCATAAGCCACCCCTCAGCCCATTGACTCAATTGATAAGGTCACCTTGCAATCTTAGATAACCTTCTGTGCTGACCGCTATATCACCAATTTTGGTGGGATCTGCAAACTTAATCATGCATCCTATATTCTCAGCCAAATCATTTATATAAATGACAAAAGTGGATCCATTACCAATCTCTGTGGAACCACAGTTGGTCACAGGCATCCAGTCCAAAAATCAACCCTCCACGAACATCCTCTGTCTCCTTTCAAAAAGCCAATTTTGTGTGCAATTGGCAAGGTCATCCTGAATCCATGTTATCTAACTTTATTAAGTAGTCCACCAAGCAGAACCTTATCAAAGGCTTGACTCAAGTCCAAGTAAGCAACTTCTTCTGCTCTGCCCTCAATCTTTTTGGTTACTACCTCAGAAAATAAATTTAAAGTTTGAGACTCACAATTTCCCCTTACACAAAACCATGCTGACCACCATCATTCCTTGCATACAAATCCCACCTTTCAGAATCACCTTCTACAACTTACTCACCACAGATGTCAGACTCACATGTCTATAGTTCCAAGGCTTCTCCCTACAGTCCTTCTTAAATAAAAGCACATGAGCCATCCTCCAGCACCTCACCTGTGGTTATAGATGATACAAATATTTCTGCTAGGGGAACCACAATTTCCTCCCTAACTTCTCACAAAGTCCTGGGATACACTCGATCAGGTCTCGGAGATTAATCCGCCTTTATGTTTTCTTCCTCTCCTGTAATGTGAGCTGTTTTCAAATCCAAGTCCTTGAAGGATCTTGTATGTTTCAAGAAGGTTGCCTCATTCTTCTATACTCCAATGACTACTGTCCAAGCTCTCCTCATAAGACAATAACCTCCATCAGCCTAGTAAACCTTCTTTGATCTGCTTTAAACGCTAGTATATTCTTCCTTAGATAAGGGACCCAAACTGTTCAGTTTTCTAGCTATGGTCTGACTAGTGACTTGCAAAATTTTAGCAACACATCTTGAATCTGTTGATACAAAACTTTGGAAAAAAAAAAATGTATCTTCTGCTCAGTGTAAGAGAGTGGAAGACAGCACAACCAGGATGGGAGAAGTCTCCGATTACGTTGGCTGCTTTTGAGGCAGTGGCAAGTATAAACACAGTCAATGGAAGGAAGAGAGACAACAAGGTGCAGAGCTGGATGAACACAGCAGGCCAAGCAGCATCATAGGAGCAGAAAGGCTGATGTTTCGGGCCTAGACCCTTCATCAGAAATGGTCTAGGC